TCAGCTTGGTGAGACCCTGAACAGAGGACCCAGTTAATCTGTTACTGACCACCTGACTCACAGACATTGTGAAATAATAATTTATTTTTTGTATTGTTAAGAATTTTTGTTGTTGTTGTATTTTTAGGGATGGGGTCTTGCTACGTTGCCCAGGCTGGCCTCAAACTCCTGGGCTCTAATGATCCTCCCACCTCAGCCTTCTCAGTAGCTGTGACTAAAGATGTGCACCACTGCACCTAGATAAGTATTTTGTAATTTGTTATGCAGTATTAGAAAACTAGTACAGAAGGACAGAGAGAAAGGATAGAAGAAGGAGAGAAGGAAAATGAAACGAAAAGGAAAAGGAAGGAGCAGAGGGATGAAGGAAGAAAGGAAGGAAGGAAAGAAGAAACAAAAGAAGGGAGAAATAAAGGATATTTGGTTATGATTTTGCCTCCCTTGCTGTCTTTCCGAGGACAGAAAGGCATACTTAGCCATAATTCATACTTTTTTTTTGGTAGAGTAATAAATAAGTCTTCATGAAGTCCTATGTGGTTTGTAAGCTTCTAGATTATAATTTATGGGAGGTTTGCAAATTTACCACAGTATATCATAAGCACGTGCCACTTTTGTTTTAGCTTGATTCTTTCAAAGTTGAGGGCCACTAAAAATGTTAATTTTCCTAAAGGAGTTTGTGTATTTCTTTCCCCCAGGATAGGCTTTTTAGATTTTTACATCCTTTCATCCTTCTGCACTTGCCCAGTTTTTGCTGTAGGGTTGTTTGTCTTTTTCTCAAGGATTTATAAGAGTACTTTACAAAATATGGATATTAATCTGTTTTCAGTTATACGAGTTGAAAATAACTCTTTCCAGATTGTGGGATAATCTTTTACTCTCTTGATGTCATCTTTTGTTGAATAGCAGTTTTAAATTTTAATGTAATAAAATTGATCAGTCTTTTCCTTTATGAGTTATACCTTTTTGCTATTAAAAAACTTTCTATTTTATAAAGATATTTAAAAGACATTCTCTTACCTTTTTCTTAAAAGTTTTAAAGTTTTGTCTTCAATGTTTTCTTTTCCATATGTATAACCAGTTTTCCTCACACCATTTACTGAATAGTGTATCCTTTCTCCAGTGATCTCTAATGTCGGATCTGATATAAATTAGGTTTTCATAGATGCTTGGTCTCTATCATGTTCTGTTGATTCAGTTGTCTGTTCTCACACCAATACCACACTGTCTTAATAACTTTGACTCGAAGTTTTCCCATGTGGTAAAGCACTTTGTTCTTCCTTTTTAGGAGCATCTGGGCTTTTCTTAGCTATTGGCTTTTCCAAATGATTTCCCCTCCACCCAACCATTTTCTTATTATAAGTCCAAAAGTAGAGTTAAAAGAATTTTACTGTAAACAAACACCCAGGAACCCACCACCTAGATTCTATAATTAACATTTTATTATTTTTCCTTGTCACATAACTATCCATCTTTCTATCTGTCCATTAATTCTACATGAGATTTTTAGAAATTAGCTTGTAATGTCCCTTAAAAACCTCATTGGATTGTGACTGAAATTAAATTGAATGTAAAGAATAATTAGGGGTAACTGACATTGTTATAATACATACCCATTCATATAATTCATGAACATGGTATGTCTCTAATTTATGTAAGTTATCTTTCATACCTTCCAGTAAGGTATTATGTTTTTCTTCATAGAAATCTTGGAAAGCTTTTGTTAAGTTTATTCACACAACTTTCTTTTATTGTTGGATTTTAAGTGGTATTTTTAAGAGTTATTTACATATTATATTTTTGAGATGAAGTCTTACTCTGTTATCCAGGCTGGAGTGCAGTGGCATGACCTCAGCTTCCTGCAACCTCCACCTCTCAGGCTCAAGCAATTATCATGCCTCAGCCTCCTGAGTCCCTCATGGGACTACAGGAGTATGCCAGCGCACCTGTCTAATTTTTGTATTTTTAGTAGAGACAGTGTTTCACCATGTTGGCCAGGCTGGTCTTGAACTCCTGGCCTCAATTGATCTGCCTGCCTTGGCCTCCCAGAGTGCTGGGATTACACACATAAGTCACCACACCTGGCCCTAAAAGTTATGCATTCTAAAGGTGTATTTCTGGTATATAAAACTATAATTGTGCTTCTTACCTGGGAAATAAAATAATCTGTACACCAAACCCCCATGACACAAAGTTTACCTATATAAGAAACCTGCTCATGTAGCCCTGAACCTAAAATAAAAGTTTGTTTAAAAAGATAAAAAAATAAAAAAATAAAGTGCTGTTGGCTTTTTAATATTGATCTTCACACCAATAATCTTATACCAGACTATTTAAAATTTTTTATGGTTCCAACATTATATATTCTTTCTAGTTTTCTATATATACAACCATATAGTCTGTAAATAATAGTAGTTGTTGGTTTTTCTTTTCCAGTTATCACACTTTTTTTTTTTTTTTTTTGAGACGGAGTTTTGCTCTGTTGCCCAGGCTGGAGTGCAATGGCATGATCTTGGCTCACTGCAACCTCCACCTCCCAGGTTCAAGCTATTTTCCTGCCTCAGCCTCCTGAGTAGCTGGGATTACAGGCATACGCCACCAGGCCTGGATAATTTTGTATTTTTAGTAGAGATGGGATTTCACCATGTTGGTCAGGCTGGTCTTGAACTCCTGACCTCAGAAGATCTGCTCGCCTCGGCCTCCCAAAGTGCTGGGATTACAGGTGTGAGCCACTGCACCCAGCCCAGTTATCACACTTTTGACTTCTTTTTTCTTTGTTATTCTACTGGCTCTGATATCTTGTATAAAGTGAACATAAATAGTGATAGCAGGCATTTTTGTCTTATTTCTAATTTTAAAGTTAATGCTTTTACTTTTTTAGCATTGACTAAATGTTTGCCGTAGAATTTATTTTTGTGGAGGGGGGGCGGTAGATGTTTTTGTTTGTTAGCCAATTTGACGTTTATTTTTGAAACAAATTATTAGTTCCCATGCAGATCTGAGTGTTCTGGAGTTTGAAACTATGAGTTTCTGTTAGTGTGAGAATAAAATTTATCAGGGGAAGGTCTCTGTCATGTTTTTATTTTTAGCCACCCCTCAAACCCCCACTCCCAAGCACCACCTTTCCCTCAGCCTAATATTGTATAAGCACTCAATAAACACCCATTGATTGATGCCTAGGTTTTTATATGCTTCTAGTCCTGGGAGTTGACGGTACATTTTGCATAAAAAACCCTTGTCAGTCAGCTTACTGTTGTTCATCCTGAAGCTGACCTATTATAGATGTCCATTTGTTTCTTTCCATCTCAGACGAAGCAAGCACCCACAAAAAGGTTCGTGTGTGTGTGTGTGTGTGTAAACTTTTGTAGTAATTGAGAGCTTCTGTGAGTTACTCTTATAACTCTTTTTCAGATAAAATTCTTAACTTCCAGCAATGAGCACAGGTTAGAGCTAAGGTATCTAAACTGAGACAAATAAGCAGTATGAAACAAAACTGGGAATACGAAGATTTTTACATGTATTTCAGCCTTGGTGATAAGCAGACATTCTTTCTCTTTGTCTAGACCTTTGTATTAGTCAGCTATTGCTAAAATAATGCTATATACTAAACTGTCCAGAGCTCAGTGGCTTACCACATGTGTTAATTTTCTTGGTTCATGGGCCTGCAAGTTTTCTGGGGCAGATCTGCTTCAGGATGCCCACTGGTAAGCCTTGGCTCTAGGTTCCAGGTTGAGTTTAGCTTTGCTCCATATATTTCTTCATTCTCCTTGTCCGGCACCAATCTCGGGAATGCAAGATGGCAAGTCAAATGACACAATTTACAAATTTAGAAAGCAGACTTTACTCTTGTATTTGTGTGACATGTGTTAACATCCCATTAATCAATGCTAGTCACGTGGTGAAGCCCAACATCAATGGGGTGGTGAAATGTACTCTGCCCACTACACTGCATCAGAAAGTTACATGGCAGGAAAAGGGAGTGAGTGACGATCTGAGAGCAATAATCTAATCTACCACAGCCTTTCATATGTGATGATTAAATGAGATAACATTATTATAAAGTGCTTAAAACATAGCAAATGTGCAGTAGGGTTTTTTGTTACTGTTATTATTATTTTATGTAAGATGAAGGTATTAAACTAGTTGATTTTTAGAATCCTCGATATATTTACATTTTTATGATTTTGTTATTCAGTTTACCATTTAAGATTTCTTTTCTTTTTCCTTCTTTGTCCCTCTTTTTCTTTTCTATTATAATATAAACACTAATAACTTCAGCTTATACTTCCAGATTTTGGCTTTAATTAGCAAATCTCTTTGGTATTTGTATGATTACATTCTCGTAATCTTTAATACCCTTAGAATCTTTAACTGCTGTAAAATACAGGGCTGTGCCTGGTTGAAGAAACATGGGTTGTTTATTTACTCTACCGTGTCTGCACTCATTGAATGTTATCTTGTGCAGATAACTGCTTTTGATTCAAACAGGCAACATGATTTCAGACCTAATTACTACAGAAGTAATTGCTCCTTGGCAAATGGGGCCTGCCAGTCTGCCCAGACTTTAAATGTCAAAGAGCCAACTGGAATACAGGGCACGTTCGGATCCTCTAATGGAAATCCATTGACCGTCTTGGTGTGACAGTCCAAAGGACTAGGGCTTTAGCCATCAAAATGTAAAATGGGACTCTCCAAATCCCTGTTTCACCTAAGGCCTCATGACAATAGATACACCACATAACATTTTGAGAAGACGGTGTTATAAACTGATTTTGCAGATCACCTATCTTCAATCTATGAAAGAAATTGAAGAGATTAAAAGAAAGAAAAAATTTTAGAGAGAGTTTTTAGAATGCTGCTGATACCCTGTCTTCATGGCTATGGAGTAAGAGGAAGGGGCTTCCTCCTCACCTGAAGTCAAGGGAAATAGGCTTCACAGGGATAAATTGAGGTTTCTGATAGGATTCCCTGCTGTTTGGGGGATACAGTGGACTGGTATCTGACACATGGTTAAAGCACCTAAAAGCAAGATGCTCTGGCCAAAGTTTCCTGCTGTGTTGGTGCAACAGGGAATGACACGTGAGTCTTTCATGGATCAAATATAGACAACATGTGAGAGATAAAGCTACCCTTGAACTGCCTTAAGCCCTGCCCATGTACCTGGTAGAGGGAAGGCAAGGAGACCTCAATAGAAAAGGCTGAAGGTATATGGTGAAAGTCAGGTGCTCAGGGAATTGTGAATTACCAGCTAGAGGAAATGAATTCACCTGGTTCTGCAGGTGAGACATCTCCAGCGATGACAGGAGCTCTTCAAAGAACGCTTAATGCATCTCGTGAGCAAGAATTAGCCAGCCAGGGGGAAGGAGGGTCAGGTTGCATCAATATTGGTCAGGTAAGACCTTTCTCTCTGTAACCTTACCTCTCTTCCTTGCCTACCCCAGCCCCTAGTCCCACCTTCAATCTTGCATGGGGGACAGGATGAGTGAGGGAGAGGAGGTGGAGAAGCAGGAAGGGAAACTAAGAAGAGATTGAATGTGCAGGCCCAAACTGGGGGAGCAGATAGATCCCCAGTCGGGGAGGAGAGAAATTTTAACTTTAAACTCTATGGTTTTGATATGACTTTTAATTATAACATGAGACTCTTTCAGGCAAAATGATTTTATTATCTGAAAATGCCAGGAAAAACCAGTTTCACCTTCTCAGAATTTCTTCCAGGAGCAGAGGAAGAACTTGCCCCATAGAATGAACCAGCGTTGAGGTGGGTGGTGATAACAGTTGTTTTATATTTGCACCCAACTAGTTTACACTGTCGGAGCGAGAGGGTTTGGTTTTGTTTTGTTTCGTTTCTCTCCAGGCAGTTCCCTGACTCTCCATTCCAAAGACAGTGCTTTTCAATTCTTACTCACCCTGTGTACTATATTCCCTCTCCACTAGGAAGCATGGAAGAAACTTGGAGGTAGGAGCAGAGGATGTATTAAAATTGGAAAGTTACCCAACCAATGACTTCCATTTCTAACACCAGCACCTCATTTGAAAATCTCTCCTACAGATAGACCATTAAAGATTCCTTTAAATGGTTCCCCAGTGTGACCATCAGAATCATTTGGAAAGATTTTTTTTAAATGACATATTTCCCTTTCTTGTGGTGACTACCTACCCATGAGAACATGCGTCTCACAAAAGATCTCTTTTACCCCTCTCCAGAAGAGGAAACGCAAGGAGTGCCTGATGCAGAGCCCCAGGCACTTCATGGATATGAAATGCCCAGGGTGCTATAAAATCACCACGGTCTTTAGCCAGGCACAAACAGTAGTTTTGTGTGTTGGTGGCTCCACTGTTCTCCGCCTGCCTACAGGAGACAAAGCAAGGCTTACAGAAGAAGGTTCCTTCAGGAGGAAGCAGCATTAAAAGCACCTTCTATCAAGATGAATGGGAAATCATCCTGATAAGGATATTTTGGATTTAAAAAGAATTACAGATTACTATGCCCCACCCTGGATCCACTGACTGAGAATCTCTGGGAAGTTTAGGAAATGTCTTCTAAATCTTTTGAGCAATCCTGGTCAACTGGGCTACAGGGGCGGACATTTGGGAAGATGGGTGGAACATTTTGAGGGTGCTGGAATCTGTGGTAAATGTATTACTCTGAGAAGACCATGTATTCAGGTGAAAGGAGTCAGGCTGAAAGAGTTCTTGCTATGTTTTCTACTTTTTTCCCTTCATCTTTAGAACATTTAGATTGCTATTTTAAGTCACTGGATGGATGTTACAGTGTTTACTGGATTGGTCTTTTTCCACTGTATTGGGACATTACTTCTGTTCTAGTGGCTTCTTGGCCATCTGGTAATTCTGTGGATGGGAGCAAAAATGGAAAACAGAGGGCACTATTAGCCTGCAACTCCAAAACATAACAGTTGTCTGACTTTCCACCAACCCTGCCAAAACTAGGCCAATGACAATATTGTTTCTAACCCACATGCCTCCCTCAGGCCAATTTGGAAACCCATCCCTTGTAGCAGAGCAAGTCTGTCACTAATGGAAAAGGATCAATAGGTTAAAAAATAAAGATTAGGTCCAGGAGTTTTGCCAGCATCAAGAAATATGCTCCATCAGGAAAGCTGGGTGTAGGATAATAATAATTCTAATTTTCTTTGTCTTTTTCTTTGGAACTCTTTGCAGTTGTTGAATAAGGACCAAATGAAATGAAATGCACTGCTTTATTAGTGTTCTCTTAGCCAGTATACTAATTATTTTTCCTGACAAATGTCTGTGAAGAGGGTGTTAGAGTAGCCTGATTTATGGCTACTTTGCTTTGCAAGTCATATGCTCATGTTAGGAAAGCACAAATAGAAGAATATTTTAAGTGCCAAAAATATGAAATGTTAAACTTTATTTTTGAGTGACTTTATTTTTGTCCTTGATTTAGAAGCATTAATATATTTTTTTTGACAACTAAACAGTAAGGGAGATCTTTTGGCTGGTGTGAATTCTTATAGGCTAGAGAGAAATACATTTATCTACTTCTTGAGTTTTGAGTAGGTTGTTGAGTTGAGAAATTTTAGATAAGCACCTTCTACACCCACTTAAACACTGGGAAATAGGGGGACTGGGGAATGGCATTTTATTGTACTCAGGTTGAAGGATAAGAATTGGTTTGTTTGAGGGGTGAAGGAAAGAAGGTGATAATCATTCTTAAATGACTAAAGGGTTGTCATAGGAAAGACTTTTGTAATGCTCCAGGCGACGGAACTACAACCTTCTCCTTCACTCCCCATACTGAGTTGATTACTAAATACTGATGAGAATCTTATTTCATATCTCTCAGATCTGTTGATTCATTCACCTCCTCACTTCTGCTACCTTAGCCTAGATATATTTTCTCTTGCAGGAGGAGGCAACAGAGAGAGGGCAGGAGGAAGAGTGGGGAAGAAACTGTTTACAGGTATCCTCTTGTTCTTTCTTATGTTTTCTCTTTTCTCTGATTCATTCTCTTCAGTCAGAATAATTTTTCAAATCAGAAGGCAAATCATGTCACTTGCTCACATAATATTTTCTACTGATTCCCCATTGCCTGGAGAATAAAGTCTGAGCCCCTCATCATGATGTACAAGTCTCTTCTTAATATGCGTCTTACAGATTTTTGCCAGTCTTAGCATCTACTCCACAACCTTTAATTTTGGACATACAGAGCTACTAGAGGTTTCCTAAATGTCCTGCTCTTCTATGCTTCTGTGCTTGTACCTATACTCTTCCTGGTACCCAGAATGTTGTTTCTCTTTTGATTCCTATTCATCTTTTAGGACATCCTCCTTTAGTTTCTCAAAGCATTCTGTACATCCATATATTGGCATTTATTAATTCTGTCATCAGACCCTCTGTCCCTACCTCCAGGACACTGTGAGTTCCCTGAAGGCAGTTGTATCTCTATCTCCAGCTCTTAGCACAGTGAGTTTCTGCAAGGAGCTCTGTTGAAGCTATTTACAGGAGGATTTCATCTTAATATGAGTTAGAACTTTTAAACAATTACGGCTGTTCAACAATTGAAGAGGCTGTCTGATACAGAGGAGGTGCTTAGCAAATAAGTAGAATATTGAATGAGCTGTGAACACTTGAATTTTCCTGTCACCAGGAAGTACTCCAGTCAACTTTGCCCGGCTTATTGAAGCACTGTAAGAAGTGTTTCATGATGAACCATTGAAAAATTTCCACCAAGAGTTATTGCACTGTACTTTTACTATATATATATGTGTAAAATACACACAAACATACATGTATTTTGAGCTATATAGATCAGATTATATAAGAAGTATAATATATATATTTTATGTTATATACAATTTTATATATAAAATAACTGGTTTCTTTCCAGGTCACAATTCTTTCTCTTTTTTCTTGCTTGAAGAACAGTCAACTGTGAAAATTATTTAAGACATTATTTTTCTTACTTTCAGCATTAGAGCTGTTCATACCTTTTCAATTCCCCTGAACAAGTCTTCAAGATAATTCTGGCTGCTATTGACAACTAAAGTACCTACATGATGGGAGCAGATTGGAAAAAGTAAATAGTTTGGAGAGGAAAAAAAATCCCATATTTTCTCCTCAAAGTTGGAGAAAAGGAGAATTATGCAAAAAGAGAAAATATGTAAGTCTCATAATTTTTAAGACTAACATATATGACAATTTATAAAATTATCTCTTTGAATACAGCACATTATGTTGCTTTATTGTTTATCCAACTTCTCAAAACATCACAAGTTATATAGGAAAGATACTACCAGTTACGATGATGTATCCCTCAGTATAGGCAAATATAACCCTTGACATGTAGTGGTAATCTTGATACTATCTTTGAGATAAACCATATGTCCTGAAAGAAACTTATCTATACAAGGTCAGGATAATATCACGTAGAGGCACAATGGAGGTGTAGTTAGAGACAGATTAGGGGACAAAAATTACAAAGTCTCAAGCAAGACAAGTTTATTTCTCCATCATATAAGAGGGTGGAGATAGTCCTGGGAGAGTAGGTGACTGCTCCAAAAACATATTCAGCCAACCATGTTCCAACTGATACTTTGCAGTCTGTGCCTGGATCACCTGGAGGGTTTTTCTTTTAAAACAGAGTGCTGGGCCCCAACTCCAGAGTTTCTGATTGAATAGTTCAGGGAGTGAGAATTTGCATTCTCAAGTTTCCGGGGGAAGCTGATGCTGCTCGTCAGGGAACTACACTTGAAAATGCACTACCCTATGGTGCTGTCCTCATCTGGACCAGCCCATGGGAAAAGAAAAACAGAGAAAAAGATATGACCCAGAGATGATACACACTTTTTTGCTGGGATTCTTTTAGGCAGATCAGAGTCAAATGGCCTCACCTATCTCCAAGAAAAATTAAAATGCAGCAGCTTCCATTATTAAAGGGAAGAAGAAATCCTTCCAATATTGAGTCTTCTGACCTGTGAGCAAGATACAGCTCTCCAGTTATTCGGGTTTTCTGTAATTCTGTCAGCAATGTTTTGTGGTTTTTGGGTACAAGTCTTTCACATCTTTTATCGGAATTTTTTTAAGTATTTCATATTTTTGATGTTATAAGTGGTATTATTTTTACTTTTTGAATGTTTCTTATGCATATAGAAATACAGTTCAATTGTCATTCCTTCAAATTGATCTAAAGATTTAATAACAACTCAATAAAAGCTTAGCAGGTCTCTTTTTGGGTCAAAATTGACAAGCTGATTCTAAAATTCACATGGAAAGGCAAAGGACCTAGAATAATCAACAAGAAGAAAATTGGAAGGCTAATATCACCTGATGTTGAGATTTATTGTAAAGTAATCAGTTATGGAGATGGAATATCTAGTAAAAGCACTGTTGGATTGAAGTAGAAATTATCACTATTACTACATCTTTCCTTCTTCTTACTCAACCCCCAGACTCTCAGGGCATGAATGCTATAGTTTTATGGACTGAATGTTTGTGTCCCCACCCACACTCCCCCATCTATATGTTGAGGCCCAAAAGATGGGGTCCTACGATGAGATTAGTGCTCTTGTAAGAAGAGGCACCAGCGAGCTTGTTCTCTCTCTCTCTCTCTCTGCCATGTGAGAACACCGTGAGAAGCTAGCTGTCTCCAAGTCTGGAAAAAAGACTTCACCAGAAACTGACCATGCTGGAACCCTCATCTCAGACTCTGGCCTCCAGAAATGTAAGAAAATAACTTTCTCTTGTTTACGCCACACAGTCTATGGTATTTTGTTATGGCAGCCTGCGTTAACTAAGACAAGGGTAAAGACATAAGGATAGAAAAATAGGTCAATGAAACAGAACACAGTCCAGAAATAGAACCACATATACATGGACAACTGATTTTTGACAAAGGTGCAGAGACGATTCAGTGGGGGAAAGGATAGTCTTTTCAACAAATGGTGCTGGAACAATTGGACATCTACGTGCAAAAGAAACCAAACAAGCATCAATTCAAACCTTGAACTATATAAAAAAATTAACTCAGAATTCCAAATTGAATCATAAGCCTAAATGTAAAACTTAAAACTCTAAAACTTGTAAAAGAAAACATAAGTAAAATCTTTGTGACCTTGGTTAGGCAAAGATTTCTTAGATATGACACCAAAGGTGTGGTCTATAAAACAAAAAGATGGATAAATTAGATCTCATCAAAATTAAAAACTTCTGCTCTCCAAAGGATGTTAAGAGAATGCAAAGACAAGCCACAGACTGAAAGAAAATATTTGCAAAGAATGTATCTGCTAGAGAACATGTATCCGTTATATGCATAGAACTCTCAAAAGTCAATAATATAAAAATAACACAACAAAAAATGGACAGCAGATAGATTTAACCAAAGAAGATATGTGGATTTGAAAGAAGCACATGAACAGATGCTTAATATCATTATTCATTAGGAAATACAAATTAAAACCATAATGAGATAACACTACACACCTGTTAGCACTGCTAAAATTAAAAAGATTGCTATACCAAGTGTTGACCAGAATGTGAAGGAATGGGAATTCTCATACTATGTTGTTGGAAATGTAAATTGGCATAGCCAGCTTGGAAATGTTTGGCAGTTTCTTAAAAAGTAAAATTTACCTTCTCATAAGACCTAGCCGTTCCGCTCTGAGATATTAAAATCATATGTCAGTAGATAGCCTTTCGCATGAGTGTTCACAATAGCTTTATTTATAACAGCCCCAGACTGGAAAAAATCAAAAGTCCATCAATAAGTGAATGAATAAGCAAACTGTGTCATATTCACATAATGAGATGCTACTCAGCAACACAATGAGAGGAACTATTGGTAATACAACAATATGGCAATATCTTGAGATTATTATGCTGAATGAAAGAGGTCATAGAGTACATATTGTATGAGTCTACGTTTATAAAACATTAAAAATGAACATTTAGTTCATTGACAGAAGATAGACCAGTTGTTTCCTGGGGTGAGTGTGGGTTGGAAGGGGTAGACGAGAGGAATTACAAAGGGCATGAGGAATTTTTGATGTGTTGGACACACAGTTGGCCCTCCACATCCGTGAGTTCTGTGTCAGTGAATTCAACCAACCGTGGGTTAAAAATATTCAGAGAAAAAATCGTGTCCATACTTAACACGTACAGACCTTTTTTGTCATTATTCCCTAAACAACATAGCATGACAATTATTGATATAGCATTTATATTGTATTAGGTATTATGAGTAATCCTGAGATGATTTAAAGTATATGGGAGGATGTGCGTGGGTTACATGCAAATATTACACCATTTTATATAAGGGAAAAGAGCATTTGAGGATTTTGGTACCTGAGGGAGATTCTGGAACCAATCCCCCAATGATACTGAGGGATGACTGTATTGACTTTCTTGTATGTGGTAATTATTTTATGGGTTTATACATACATCAAAACATCAGATTGTACACTTACTGTGTTTATTGTATGCCTATTATACCTCAGGAAAGCTGGAAAAAGAAAAAAAGATATAAGGAGATAATGGCATATGAAGTTATCACAGATTATAAATATATTTTTAATGCTAGAATTCACTTGAACTAAATGGATATGTGACTATTTTCAACGATTTTTTAAACAGATTCATGTGCATAAAATCCTAAGTATGGATGTGGCTCAAGGGATGTTTTAGTTATGTTATCTTCCTGTTGCCAAATGGGAAACACATATCTAGAGTAGAAGTGATTGAGAGGAAGATATCAGAAAACCAGGATTTTAGTTCTAATTTCCCCAAATGCACGGGGAAATTTATCTGACCATTCTAATTTTGCCACTTGTAAAAATGGCCAAAATAATACTTAGCACAGAGGCTATAATGAAAAAAGGAGAAGAAATATCTAGTAAAAGTACTGTCACATTGTTTGAAAAAGGAATTATTACTATCACTACATATTCTTTTCTCCTGCCTTCTCCTTAGTTTTACCACTCCCTGGAAATCTCTTTTACCATTCAGCTTCAGTTGGCATCTTTCCTATTTAAAGCAAAATGTGTTGAGTCGGCAGATTTGACTGACTTCTAAAGCCTCCAGTGACTTGAAGCTGACAAACTCTTAACTCTTTTTGGCCCAGAAACTGAAGCTAAGGGATTTGTCAGTTTCAAGTTGCGTTTGAGGCTATTGTGGCTTTTCCCCAAGCTTGGTCTTGCCATAGTGGCAGATTGATTGAAGAGTGAGTGAATTAGTGTTTATGTCTAAGCTGAAGCTTTGAGTAAAACTTAGCTACCGTAAGAAGATTAGCAGGGGAGGGCTGAAATGCATTCCTTCACAGATGGGGGTGTTAGGATTTTCCAGAGGTGTCTATTTAGGGTGAGCCATTTTGGCTGTCTATGTCAGTGCCCAGCACAGGGACTGCCCACCCATGAGACACTTGCATGGGTGCTTCAGAAAAATAGCATCGGCATGTCCATAAGTAACAAGATTACTGTAACATTATTACCAAGCATGAGGGTATAATGAGCAGCCTATGAGGCTGATAGAACATAGAGGATTATGGGCATTTGTAAAATGCCTCCCTGGTGACAACCTCTACCTTTCTTACAGGATCGGGGAGAGCTTCAACCAGTGGTATACTGGTAAATGTTTAACAACTGGCTCTGGGGAGTGGGGAGAGCCCTGATTTTTAGTGTTTGCCAATTTCCATGGTTTAAATATTATCGCTATGGCCAATTTTAAGCTTCCAACATATTGTCAGTTGGCTCACAAAATTCCTGAAGATTTAGATTGGCTCTCAAAAGCTGGTGAAAGCTGGCTCCAGAGCAATACTGGATCCAACAAACCAGCGGGCAAGGCCCACCCATTAAGTAAAGGATAGAGCCATTCGCTGTATCTTGTTCCCAGCTCTACCCTGGACACTCAGGGCACGAAGAAATGCCTGTTACAGTTCATGAATTGCCTAAGGTCACACAAGCTCGCAGAGATAGAAATGACACTTTAAAAATGAAAGCATGGATGCGATACTGTCTTTTTCCTTCTCATCCTTTTTGATTGGCCATCAGTGTGTCTTGTACAGTTTGAGTCATACCAAAGAAGATTTCTCAACTAGCAGGATCAAAGTTCTTTTTAAAGAGTTGATTTTTTTTTTTTTTTTTTCCAGAGCTAAAATGGTCTCCCCAGCTGCTATGAAAAGAGGAAACTGTGGTGTTTTCTCTGGAACTTTCCCTAAGCACTCTAGTTTTCAATGGGGTCAAAGTGATACCATTCCCTAGGAATGTTTTGGAATTTCACTGGGAAGGTGTTTAATCATCCCAGTGATTTAGGTTTCACAATGGTTTGGCTATTAACAACAGCCTGCGAGAAGGCAGGAATGCTAAGGACCTTATGGAGCACGGGACAGTTAAAGAAATGTCCTGTGTTCTGTACAACTTCAAATGTTCCCCCCAGCCATTCACGTAGGTGAAAAGAGCCACTTACAATTTTCTAAGCTAGGAATCTAACTTCATTTTACATATGGACATGAAGTAGGCTTGTACCACCTAAACATATATGACATTTTCTAAGATGCAGCTGCCATGTAAACTGAAGGGAAACTACCTGACACTTTGTTGAGAACATTATTGAGCATGACATCATGTTTAAGGGTTAACCCCCAGTTTGGAAAAGCATATCATTGCCAATAAGATGACCCAGCATTGGTAGCTGTCACACATTCAAGGTGATTTTAAGTAATAGGAATATGGTTATTTACCCTTTGTTTAAAAATGTCAAATACAAATTTAAAAATGTTTCTTAAATGCAAACATTTATTACAAATAAGTGCAAGCATGTGACTGCTTCCTGATGTCTTTGGATGTAATTGTGTTTGAATATTTTCCTTTTGAAATACATATAATGTTATTATATTTAATTGGTTTCCTATCTGCTCAAACTATCCAGGATATCCTCAACCTCTCTCTCCTTCTTACTCCTCAGGGTCATTCATTTAAGTTTGGTTGGTTCCATTTCCTAATTTCTCCTCCTGTTTATACCAATGCTACCTTAGTTCAGGATCATACTTTTTCTTGCTTGACTATTCCAAAGCCTACCCTCATTGTACAATCCATCATCGTACAGTCTTTTATCACCCCAGCCCATTCTCCACATAAATGTTAAAGTGATCTTCCTAAAACACAAGTCAGGGAGTGTCATCTCCTCGCTGAAAACATCACTGGGTCCTAGCTGAATAGAGGATGAAACCCAGACTTCTCAGAATGGCACATGTGACAATCACTGTTGATCTTCATCTGCCCTCAAGCCATATGCCAGCCACAGTGACCAGACCAGCCATGCCATTTCATTTGTCTAGGTTTCAGCATGCTGTTGTCTTTGTTTGAGGAATCTTTCTCCTCCCTCCTGCCAGCCTGGAGAATTTCATTCATTCTTTCTGACTCGATCCAAGTTACTATTCCAAACCTCCGACTTGAATGGTTTCAAATGATCTGTGTAGTCATCTTTATTACGATGCTTAGTGTACTCTATTAGAACGGGCCTATGACCACCAGGCACCACCTGAGCCCATTCCCCACCCCGAATTTGTCTATATGAGAAGACTGGGGAGGCGAGGAAAGAAAGACACCAGGATCCTTCGCCTCAAGGGGAGGGCTTGGAATGTAACTTCATTTTACCTATGGACATGATAGGCCCTTGCTTTCCCAGCATGTCAAAGACAAAGGAGGAGGGCTCCAAGACGATTTCTTGGAA